TACTAGCACAAGCAGTAGTCGTCGGACCAGAAGGGTCGAAGCTCGAGGAAAAACGCACTCGTCCCATTCTTATATCGCGTTTCCCTTCTGTTCGTTCGATCGAAGAGACGTACAGCGACGAACCAACTGCCAACTTCCATTCTTCCTTCCGTACGCCTGTGAAATGGTCGTTCGACTCAGGAGTTCACGGCCCTGACCGAAGGCCATTCTAACTGTAGTGAAAAGTTGTCGTACTGTTAAAGGCCATTTCCAGAAGCAAAACAGCAAAAGAACATGGGGAAAATAGGTCATCAAGTGTTCCTTTCTTAAAGCGCAAGAAATCTCTAGAAGGTTCGGTTAGAACTAGATGAGAGGGAAATTTGGAATCCCAAAAAATAGGGATATGCTGTGTGTTCATCGTTCTACTTGCGTGATAGCCAGCTGTTAAACCCACTGCACCTTGGTCTTAGGCTATTTGTCAGATACGGGTAGAGCAAGGATCATGCTGACCTTACAGATGGAATCGCAATAGGTCGCATTGTCCAACTTACTATCGCAAGGAGTCGCATTCGATCATAGGTGTCACTACTTGCGTCGCTTGCATAGCCCGTAGCCTAAAGGAACGTGCCTCACGAAAATATAAGCGATGCATGAGGGAGCTATAGGCAAAAAAAATTAAAGAATGGAAAAGGAATTACTCGATGGTTCCAAAAGCTATCGTGTGTAATTATTGTTGCCATTTATTTATTTAATAAAAAGTTGCAAATAATAACCAACCAATAAATAAAAACCATGCAAATATTGTCCCGATCCCTAACTAGCTTTCAGTGTTCTGATATTATATATGCTACGAGAACTCGTGAGTGCAACACATCTACTGGCCATCGTTATGAAGTTTTGAAACGTTTTTGGTGAAAGTAATGTTGAAACAACTATCACAGACAACAAGCAGACCAATTTCCAGAAATTTTTTTTCATGTCTTAAAGGAAAACGAAACGCTTTCATATTTTAAGAAAATCACTTAAAACCGCTCTGTTATGTACGCTGTATCGCAATGTAAAAGGTACCTACAACTATCCACTGAAGCGATGTTAAATTACCAGGAGGATATTAATAGCATAAAATAGGAAATAGCAGATATAGGAAATCATATTTACTCCTGCGGTGGCTGCTGCAAAAAAAGCAATTTTTTATGAGGAATCCAAGGCGTTGTTGATCAAAATATTTCTAAATTATGCTTTGCATATATGAGACATACTTTCCAGGTCTTAGCTTAAGTCTTTGACGGAATGGGGGTTCATTATACCTTTCTATCGACTAGCTTGATCGTCTCCAACGTTATTTTCCTGAGCCATTCAGATCGATTGTGTTGTGGATTCGTCTTCGCTCCTCTTCTGTTTCGGGTAAAATGGCCCTCTGTTCTCAAAAAGTTCAGCCAACTAACGAGGTCCATAACCTCGTCACACTATACTCAGGAAAATTTGACTTGAGCTCACAAAAAAGGATCAGATCGGATTCCGTTAGACGGGAAAGGCCGGCAATTGCTGTCATTTCTTCTGAGATTCTACATCAATGCACTGAGTAGGCTCGTTGAATAATTCGGTCAGGACATAGACGGGCTAAATCAACGTACAGTTTCATGAACGGTAAGCGGTAGCGATTTGTTACGCTGTAGAATAGCTCCTGCATGTGACAAATGATTACCGCGTTCGGTTTTTCTGTCGGCGCAGTAATTTTCGAAGAACTTTTTTTTGTACACAGAAAGCATTACAAAGACGTGAAAACTGGTTTGCGTAGGAGCCCCAAATATATTATAGTCTGTAAGGGTGGGCTAGGTGCAAAATGACTACGGGCCATTGTTGCTAACAGTTTTGCCGATCTCAGTCTTCGGACAATACGAAGATGGTTTATATGTACCAAAACGTTTGTCTGCAAACAGCATGTACTACAAGCTTGTTCGGTTGTCGTTGTGCGACCGTCTAGTTACTGCTACGAAGTCTCAAAGGAATCTAGTGCCTAGTTTCGATCTTTGCCAGTTTTTTTTAGATCTGAAAGTGCGCATTTATAAAAAGATGAGGATTTTCTTAATTAAAATTATATGGTATGCATTCTAAAGGTCTCGTATTCCTTGATGGAGTTACTCGTGATTGATAGATATATGATTTCACTATCATCATTATATCCTTTATTATATCAGTATATGCTTTTAATACCATCAAACAATTTCGTTTCCGTTCACAATTCATTAGGTTAACGTATTAATTGAATAACTTGTAGTAGGTTGAAAATCATCTTACCAACTCAACATTGTCACCGTACAGCTGTTCTTACGCGAACAGAGCGTAGAACCAATGTCTTTATACACTCTGCTAACGTAAGTGCATCAGGAAAAGTGTTTCTAGTCGAACCAATAAACCATCTAAAGTGTTGTTCTTTTTTGCCGTCGCAGATAGCCTGTGGTGGAAGAACAAGGGATAACACGTTGAATAACGAAGTAGGGTAACATGGACGTTCTCTTGACAAAAAAAGCTGACAAAGTCCATCCGTCCGTCACAAGATGTATATATGTCTTATGTTACAGATCGGCGGAAGATTTGCTGCAGCTTTGTGAGCACGCTAGTTGGGCCTAGTTTGATGTTTTACGACACTTTGCTGCCAATACCTACTTCGTGTCCTGCCTCTCCGCCTGCTTGCACCCTTCCTGGCCTACGGAACAAAAGTCCTACGAAGCCTACTTCACATGCCAGGCTTCGACGCGTTGGACCACGAGCCGACTCCTATCATTGACTGCGACGTTCAGAACAGAAAGAAACTCCCGCTCAACACATCAACGTGTTCTACAAAAGCCACACCCCAATCATCTCTTGTTTGACAAGATGAACAAACTTGCAGCATTTGAGGATCATTGTTTAATATCATAACTGGAACTTGAACCCGTCACGAATATTAATCCGAAAAATTTTGCATTATTAATATTGTCAGTTAACTTAGTGTAGGAAATACAGTCACATTCGAAGATCATACATCGGTGCAACAGTATCGCAAAACCATGTTCTTTCCACAGGTTTGACTACAAAAAACTGGCAATACTACGTACCGGTCAAGCGAAAGCCATATTCGACTTAGAGAAAACCTAGAAAAAAAAAAACAGCAAATTCCGACCGGCTAAATACTATCGGAGCAGTGTAGTCACGCTTTAGTGACAAAGCGTTTGTACACTGGATTGCGTTCGTTACAAGCTTGTCATGATGATCTGCAAAAGAATTCGATCCTAAAAAGAAATGGAAGTATATTAAAAAAAAAAAAAAAAACATTTCTAAGGTATCTAAATACTTCTAAAGAAAACGCGCCATTGTCTGGACTGACAATAAAAGACATCGCAAACAGCTAAGTACAATGCTAAATCGAGAACTATCAGCCGAACCGCATTTAACTTTTATTTACCCCGTATTTCCGGTATTACGCCGAGCGCCCAGAAATGTTTCACTTATGTTAACGACCCTCTGGCGCTTGAAGCCGACCAAAGGCGGCGATGTGTCAGTCGATCCAGGGCCACAGCTAATTTCCACCAGCTATCGTTGCTATTTAGGTGCCGTTTATATGCTCTGTTCTGTGAAATTTCTTTAACTTCTTTGTTGAAAAATAGGTGTATATCATTTGTATGCGGTTGTGCTGAGTAATTCTATCGTGAAACACTTCAAAGGCAAGCTTCTTAGGAGATTTCCGTGACACTTATTCTTAGTTGCACCTCTATTAAACTTACTTTACGTTATGCTCCATTTGAAGTAAGTTTTTTTCATCGCATCGCAAATTTATCGAGATTTTTAAAAAAAAAAATGCGTTTTTGGTGTTCTTTGCGGAAACACAAGTAATGCAAAATTTTTTCGTTGAGCAGTGGTTAATAATAAATAAAATTCCAATTTACTTCCGGTTATCAAAGGATCAAGCGCCTGTTGATATTCTGAAGACTTGATTGGTTTAAAGAAAAGCACCTCCAAAGTATTATAAGTACGATGCTCCCAGACAGTCTGCTTTGAGCTCACTTTGTCTGAGCTTCAGAAGATCAACTTTCCATAGCACAATAATGCATGCTTCAACGAAATTTCTGTAAGTTGGACGTGCTAGCGAACTTCGGGATTCGATAAGTTCCACTAGCGATGTGCCTAGTTAGCTCTTCACAGATCAATATACTTAGTTTTTCCACACCGTTTTTCAGATCGCAAGATGTTCACGAAGTGTCCTAAGTCTAACAGTTATTGTTAATGCATTCTTTTATTTAATAGTATCAATCATATTTTAGCTACACGTTGTTTGATGCCGAAAGCGCCAAAGTACAGCTTACTATAACTTAAGACTTGGCATTTCTTTATTGTTTCTATAGAAGCCGTTAATATTTTTAGTGTGTACATTGGGGTGTCTTCTACATATGAACAAATAAACTGTAAAGTCAAACAAATACATAACGTAGACGTATACATTGTTTGCAATTAAATTTTTAGGCGCGAGAATTCCTATACCGGAAAAGAGAAGGGCGTCAAAGATTTGCTCCGCGGTTAGATAAAGGTGAAAGGAAAGGAAAGGCTCAATTAACAGGTCGCTGTTTATCGGTTTTCTTGGTGTCGCTATTGAGACGAAGTTTTTCAGAAACAGCTCAACAAGTTGTTTGGTAACAGCATAGCTTTCATCCTGCTTCTAACCCTGAACCTATTTATATAACACGACTGGATGGCTTATAGAAACTAATCGCAAACGGTCACACAGTAATATATGTCGAACTGTGCCGATAAATAAGCACTGATGCAATTGCAGTATATTATTATGTTATGCAAGTTTCTACAGAACATAACTAGATTCGAAACGTTTTACTTCTTTTAGGCACATGCTGAGATTTCAGACAAAAAGAACAGACCCAATATGTTATCAGGCTCGGTTAGGAATAACTGTTGGCGGGTCCAAGTTCAATCCGCTCCCCATAGTAAAGAAAGATTTGCTTGAATTGAAATATTTACGTTTAATTAATACCATCCTTTTTCACATCCTGGCCCAGTTTATTCGCAGCTGGGTTTTGTATGTCTATAGAATATTCCATTCCACAGAGGATGGGTGAAAGTTTTATCGCCTAGTTAAGCATAAACAATAAATTCGTAGAATTTTATGAAAATATTTTGTCCTTCAATGCATAAGATTGATTGTAATACTGTGGATGATCTATATTGATCAGTGCGTTCCCGGGCGTATTTCCCTACTAACAGCGAACCTGAAGAGACGCAGCAATAGATTGTGGTTAGATGAAATTATATGTCGATGCGCGCTTGCTATTTAGAGACTATTTACGAAGCAAGGAAAGTGAAAACAGACCTAGCAGCTCCGATAGGTATTATGCACTCTTACGAAAATCGGGGTAAAGCTAGGAAGACTAATCCGAAAACAGTGACTATTTGGTATCATTTACAAGACGCCCCCACCGCCTCGTCCCCCAAAAAACGCTCAGGCGATTTAGTTTATACATATCAATAATGAATCGTAGCTCTCTGTTGTTAAGTTTGAACCTGCAATAAGGCTGCAGATCCCTTGTCTCCGGGAAAGAATGCAAAAGTTTCTTGCGTCTAAAAATTAAACCAGTTAACGTAAATAAGTTCTTGCCAGCTACTCAACAGTTCAAAAGTGATAGATAACCGAGCTGCAGGACTAGCCGTAAATTTTAAACCGGAACAGCGTTGGTAAAGACGATTGTCCAAGGCATACGTTAGAAGACGCCGAGATTGTCTATGGTCTACTAAATTAAATCGGTCGGATCCATTTTTATACCGTATGAGTCCAGCTGCCATTGGAAGCAGCACGTATTGGCGCGCTGACAACTTCTAGAATCAGGCTTTTCGCGATCAGACATGAAAGCTAGATGCTTCTTAGGGAGGCAAAAGAACGTCTGAGCAGTGCTCTTTAAGCAAGCGCGCATCAGCGATCCTCACTGCACAAAGAGGTTCGATTGCGATAATCTGATCTCACATAGATCAGATCCTGATCATGTGTTACGAAAGTACCGTTGGGGAATAAACAACACATCAGTTAGCAAGTGCTTCTGGGTGGAGAGTTCTGCTTCGTTAACGATATCTGCAAAGTCGAACGAAACTTTACTACTTGAGTATTTGAGCTCTGGAAAAAGCTAAATAGGAAAGCAGAGTAAATGGTGGGCTCGTCTTGTTCTTGTATTTCTTCACTGACATATTTTTAGCACGTTCTTCAATTCTGTAGCATCTTTCGTCTGACTCATCAAACACCAATTTGCTCCAGTATGAAAATCTTAGAAAAGAGAAAATTTTTCAAAGTAAATCGTGAAAAATTAACCCAGATAGCCAACCCCAGTAAATCATTCAACTGATCACAGCTGACTTGTATCTGACGCAGTCGAATGGCCAATGAATGTATTATACATGCAAAGGAAGAAATATTAATCGTATGATTTATATAACAATACCCCAAGTAATCTCGTAGCGTTAATTAGATTTGTGAAGATTCTATATAACCATGAAATGTAATTAGTCTGTCCGGTAATTCCAGCCGCCATTTTGTACGAGTAGAGCGGTAACATTATACATGCAGAATGGTGGTTTCCCAGCTGGGTCCGCAAAGTTCACCCGTATGAACTATACTGTATGCCCGTTGCCAGTGTCAAGCTTTGTAAATATTTAAATAGTTTTGCCTGGTTTCTCTAGAATATAATCATGTTCACTCCCTTTAAATTCCAATAGTTTCCACATTAATTACATCTGATCATTTGCTGCACAGTGGGGTAACCGTCTTTAATTATGCCAGGTAAAACGATGTTGTTGCTTCGTTCCGAAGCACTAAAACAGCGTAGTAGAAACACGGAGTTTCTACCTATTACCATAACCGAGCTACAAGTACAATCCAGCCTAGAGCATTTACCGTAGGCGTTAAAACCATTTATCGAGTCTAAGCTATAGCACTCAAAAAGGATTCCATCACTTGCGGAGTTCGGTTATTCCAACGGTCGTAGTCAATGAAATGGCGCGCTAATGATAAAAGTCTAAAAGATAAGACTTTCCCTGATCTATTACTTAATAATATTGACCTACCTGCACTTACGTAAACCTCACTCGACATATCTAGACGGCGTCCCTATTGTATCGTTGCGTAGTCTCTTCACGCTTCTCGATCTCTTCGCGCTTTCTGTCCCGGCGGATATCAATTGTATCAGAATTGAGGCTGCTGATTGTCAGTATCCCACATCTTGCAACAACTAGTGAGGAAAAACAAACCGGGGTAGAGTGTCATGGTCAACAAAATGGCATTCGATTACAACCCCACAATGTCATATATCAACCATGCTCAGTGGCAACATTGGTCATAAAATGGCGCTGCAGGATACTTTGTTTATTTAATGTGGTATTTGATTGAAGTTAATGCTTACTTGGAATGAATAGAGAATTATAATCGCAACGTATTAAAAGAATCGGAACTAAAAAGCTTATCACAGTATAATAAAACTGTAACCACGCGGGATTGGGCACGCTGGGCGCAGGTCAAATCACCCTATTGCTAAAAAAAAACAAAAAAAGGGTCAAGTAAACTGAGATATCTGGCATAGCTAAGTTCATTAAGGTTTGGAATTGAAACCGCGCGGAGCTATGGTAAAATGGTGACTGTCAAGTTCTAGTTGCGAGCGTGTTGAAAAATGTATAGGGCTATACAATGAAGTTCATAGCATAAACATATTCCTTTGAGAGTGTAATTGCCGTAACAGAAGAAATCAGGATGCTTATATTACCAGGACTCGACATATTCAAAATTTATTTCACGTAGAAATAGGCCTGACCACTACATTGTAGTGAGGGTAACCATAGGTACGCGGGGCCGAACACCAGGCCAAGGTGGTATAACAAAGTCGTTGTAAGTAATTTCTCAGGACTCGTAAGTAACACTTAGTCCGAAATGTATCGTACCTTATTACAGAAATAGTCAGCTATTGTTCTTTTATAAATCACTCTGTTCAGATTGTTGAGTTAAACTCTTCTATACAATCGCAACCCGGCGTTACATGTATGTGTTACCCGTTTCATAAATCTATCGTGGACAAGCTGTCAGAGTACCGAAAGAGCAGAAAAATCTGTCCATTTAGAAACTGCATCACTTCCATAGAGTCTGAGGCACGCGCGTACATCTCGTTCTATTAAAGTCGTCAAAATCAGGTTACATATTTAGGATGCTGTTCTAGTCCTTAGTTTGAACAGAGTGGTTGACTAGGACCTTGAAAACAACATATTCTACCACCTCCCATAATACTTCTAGAAATGAATCGTTCAATATACTATTTAGTAGAACAAACTGAAGAACAAATGTTTGGTTAATGCTGCAGCAATCGTTCACAGATCTAATAGCCTTTTTCAACACGATCCCCCTTTCCGTTGTGTTCAACTGTATAACTAAATTGTCAGCTCACTTGTTACATTTTAATCTGAGACCCACTGGGTTTAGGTCTGGGCCAAGGCACGATTATTTGCAGTGATATTTTATGCAGTTGACTCCCAGTTTAGGTGGCTTGTTAAAATCTTATGAGACTTAGCTGTATTTTGCGACTGTATTAGAGCTCGACCCGTTTGAGTTTAACCTCTTAGACTACCGCAGAATCTAAACGGAGGAAAAAAAACACACGGACGTCGCTTTGTCGTACCGCTTAAGCGCTCTCTACTTCGAGTTGACTTCGTTTTCTATGCAGATGACTATTATCAATTAACCATGCTTGTTCTATTTTAAATTCGTCCATTTAATACTCTATTCTGTTACAGATTCTAATTATTATAGTACAAATGATTTCGACAATCAGATTTATACAACGAAATGTTGTTCACTGACAAATAAAAGCCCCGTGCACACCGCACAAGCACAACGTATGGCGTCTGTGCTGACGCCAGATAATAAGATATATATTGAACTCATTTATTGGCATTTTGAAACATTGCTAGCTAAGAAGTCATTGCCGACAATTGGCAAGATCGTATGTTCTGACCGGACGGTGTAGTATAGACGCCCACATTATATCTCGTGATTTCAGTCATAATAAACAAAATAATGTACCACCAAAATGAAATAGTGTATATATATATATATATATATATATATATAGGAACAATTGGTCATTAGTCTAGCAAAAGGGACGACTTTCTTTTGTAAGCCTAATACAGTAAGAACTCAGTGGGCAAACACTCACCGGCATTTCTTGTGATTACCCCTGCAGTTGTAGCCAATTAAACGAGACAAAGGCAAAAAGAAAAAGTAGCGATAAAATTTAATCGCGCAGTATAGTATATAATATGCTACGCCATTTGGAAAAAATCTACTGTACTATATAAGTGCATCGTAGTCGGTGGCCTATGGCGGGTGGCCTGCGGCGGGTGGAGATGTCGATTAATTTCTGTAAATTTGAACAATATATAGCAAATCGTTCAAAGTTCTATTTATAGCATGAAACTAATTATATACTTTCGAATTACTCTCTGTAACAACATAGGAAACTAATAAGCATAGATCGGTCGTCTGCAACAAACAAAGTTTACATTTGTGTACGGACAAAAAGGCTAAACGTTTTTAACTCTATTTTTCATAGCTCATAAATTCATTGCTGTGTCACCATAAACTAGCGCCGCTATCACATCAAGACCGTATCGTATATTTACCCCAATAGCAGCAGAAATCGTTTTAACCTCGTTTAAAGGCCAGGGTTATTAAGCGACATAGTTTATAGGGTACATAGTCATATTTCCTGCCTGCTATCGAAAGCCGTATCAACATCACGTACAGCAACACGTTAGCACGATACATGTCTAACCTAGCTTTCTGACTGCTAACGTGCCAATATGTTAAGTACGTGAACCATCTCGTATGAGATGAACAAATAACATCGTGGCTGGTATGTTGGACCAAAGCTGACATGGATAGAGAGACACGGGAACTTATTTTAAATGGTTACCTTTTGTAAGAACTACGCCGCATAGAGGTTCAAGCCCATCGATGTCGTTCCTTTTAGTGATTTGTTATATACGTAGAATAATATTCAATGTCACAACAGTCCGTTTCGGTGGGTTGACAATATCCCATAAGCTTTTTCAGTGCGTGCGCTGTCCACTAGATGGTATAACGTAAATTGGCCTAGGTTTACCTAGAAATATTACCTCGAAACAATGTTCAGCATTAATTTTCTAAAGGCTACTGTCACTAAACACACACACCCCCCCACACACACATATACATACGAACTAACTAGAGCCCTCGCCGACAGCAGATGCCAACCTGCAGAGCGGAAACAACAGCCGTAAGCAAACGGCTGTTACAAGCACCCTGAATCCCTTAAGACAACTTATCGCTTGTAACGTACCATAGCGTGATATAGATCCCACGGCGAATAAAACTACAAATTCAGTGGAGGGGGGGGGGGCTACGTGAGGCAGTAATTAGGTTTAACTGAGACTATCTTTACAAATGTCCATTAAGGCGGCGGTTGGAGCAATCGACCAGCTTTTTTTCTTGATTCTTCCTTGTTATTTTCTTCTTTCGTACTGCTACTTCGTGTCTCCGAAGTACCGCGTGAGTTCCTTACGATTTCAGCGTTACCGGGTTCGGTTGTCTGCGCTACCTTTTTTTCTATCGATGCTCTTCGTGCTCGATCGGCCATTGGTCGTTGATTGAGATGAGGTCAACGTGGTGAACATGCTGATTGATAAGGACAAAGCAGAAGAGTTGTTGTTGGTAGCGCTAGAGAACGCAAACAACGAATTTAGAAAAGATGGAGAACAAACAGCAGGACAAAAGCTATAGGACGTAACGGAGCGAGAGTGCGTTTGGACAGTGTCGATCATAGAGCTAGGGAAACAAATGGTAGGCACAAAGAAAAAATGTCGTGTGGCTTGGCCGGCCAGTCGCATACGATCATCGAGCGGCGTATGTTAAAGCACAGTCGAGCTCCATGAAAATCCTAGCTTGCTCTACCGGTTAGACTGACATTTCTATCGAGAAACAGACGACGAAAGGGACGGTTAAAAGTCACTGCCGTAAAAGCACTAGAAAAGCTCACTCGATACGAAAATAAGATTTATACGTATAAACGGTAATTCTTTATCTAACCCATTCAAAAGCCGTATCTCCTTCCATGGTCCGTTTCATATAATCTTTGACCAAGGGCGATCTCTTACCAACGGCAGCCCTTACATGTTGATTTAATGGCTAACAAAGAAAATAGCTCACATACGTAGATAACGAATTCTGTCTTACTCTTTCTGCCTTTATTTACACTTGTACTTTATTATAAAGACTAATGGACGGCTATTAATGCGCACACCGGCAAAAGCTTGCCCCAGACCTATCGTAAGGTACAGCTGCGGCCAGCTATACGAAGGCGAATTTTTTTTCAAAACTATGCAATTTACGTGTTGATTGTCGTAGATAAACCAATCATTTAGAAGGAGGTTTGAAAACTAAGTATATGAACATGTGTTTAAGCATTAAGGACGTTAAATAAAATACAAATGAGTTTAAGTTATCCTTCGTCACAGTAAACGAAAGGCGGTGTTAAGTAAATGAAATTTCTAAACCCAGTCAGCCTTTCAATGGCCACGTCGTTTCACTTATACGTAGCTCTGGTTCGAGACGACCGATTTGTTGAACGCGTTAATATCACAGACGTCGCCTATGACATTTAGTTCGCTGGCTACCGCTTTCCTTGCGCCACTCACAAACGTCTAAAAAACCTATAGATGGCCTGCTTTAAGAGCTGTCTCCTTTAATCTCTTTAAAAAATGCTGTTTGTATCTTTTGAACGGAACAGTCGTCAACTTACGACAAACAATGGATGCTGTTCAACATAGCTCTGTGGCAGATCCAATTTTTACCTTTCTACTCACTGATACGCTTTTCTGTGGGCTTAATTGAGAACCTTGTGCACGGTATCCAAAAATGAAAAACACCGTTGAGTCCGACCACTGTGAGTTCCCGAATCGCCAAGTGGACTTATAGCCGTACAAACGCATTAGTCTCTTACGACCACTTCTTGGATGCTATCTGAAGTCTATTCGGTGGTCATTGAGTATCAGTGCTAAAAGACATCGATGGAAGCAGATTGAAGCTAGTCATTTTTAACGAAAACGCATTGAAATCAAGAATAGACAAAGGTACTTGGGTTTACCATGCTGCAATGCCCACGCCCAATTTATTGCCTTTTACGTAAGTGGCAAACAGACAGGTGACAAATTCATTTCAGCTTGCGCTTATTATGAAACATAAAAAAATACATATACCTCGACGTTTTGCGAGTTCGTTTTAGCAATTTATGTGGCATAAATATCTCACATCTAATTTTCCAACTCTAAATATAATGATGACAGCGAGTAATACTTTACCTCAAAAATAGCGCTTACTCTAATAAAGGAAATGGTATTTAAAGACAATGGCTACGTTACAACATATCTATACTTTAGGGTCCTTTCAAATAAACAGAACTGTCTTACGCATTATATTTGAAAAGAGCATTTGCATACGTATACTACTGATATATGTCTCTCTTGCCTCACTTCTGCCGTTATATGATGTATACCACTCCATTGTTATCTTCATCATAGAAATAATGCTTATGTTATCGCTAATTCTCAAAATCAATCCGTAACGCCATATTTTCTGACCTCTGTTACGCTGTCGTAATAACTAGGCATCTGGTTGCCCCGACCAATTCAGCGTCACCGATGCCAATAAGAGACGTTTCCAGATACAACCTGCTTGCTCCGCCAGACTCCCACTCTCGTACCCACAGACTGCAATCGTTGTCCCCTATGGCACACTCTGAATTACTAAATCTCATTGAATTTCACAATCTACACTCGTTTAACAAGATATGGATGAACGCAAGGAGAGCCCATAGGTATATAAAAAAGTTACATTAGTCACAAAGGCTGTGTAATATGATTCGTCGTAATCTATTATATAGTAGAAGCTATTTTCTGTTTCCGGGCCTGCCAGCCACAGGACATACGGTGTATGTGTCCCAGTTCAGTATTGTGTGATTTGCTTTCATCGGTTGGGGCGAGAAAGGGCAACCCTCGACTGGTAGTAGTGGCGTCTTCTTCTTCATTCCACACCTTCGTTCCTCTCTCTATTCGAATGCCATTCACCAGCATCGCCATCTCTTCGGTCTTTTTGCTTAGTAGCAACTTTTCTCTCTCGGACCGTCGCCCAACGCTAGATCCGCGGCCAAAATGGCAGCAGCGGAAACTACTCATCGTTGGAACAGCTATTGCGTTGCTAGTTCAGCCGGCTGGCCGCATTGAAACCATTGGTTAGTTTTCGGCACTATAGAGGGTCTCCTTTCGCCGTTTTCCTCTCACTCTCCCCCATAGGTGAGCCTTTTACCACGTAGGCCCTTGACCAGCGCCATCTAGACAGCAGCAGCAATAAACAGGCTATTGCAGTGGCTCCGACAACTGTAAGAAGACTTCGTGAGTTGCCTTGCGGATCCCTCTATAGTTGACTGTGTGCAGCTGTTGGTTCGTTCGTTGCTTACTTGGTCATTTGAGCGTAGCTGATTCCAATTGAGCCGGTCTGCGCAGAAACTGCAGCGACCGCAGACAGGGGCCGACGCCGGCCTTTCTAGCTGCTTCTGTTTGATGCTGTCAATGTTGTTTTTGTTGAGGCTGTTAGCAGTGCCGCAGCTGTCGTCGCTGCTGGCGTCGTTGTTGTTGTTGTTGTCGTTATTGAAGGTCTCACGTCTTAGGGCAGCAAGGGGATAAAGGGCGCTGTCAATATAAAGAGAGGAACAAACAAACTAAACAAAAAGGAAGGCTAGGTACTTGGCCAGACCTGCAGTCCTGAAAAGCCAGTCTATCTCTCTTACTTCATCTGCCCAATCGAAGGCTACGTTCTGATGACTAGCGGCGGAGAAGAAGCAGGAAAGGCTTGTTTGGAGTAATACACCTGGGCGCCAAACAACTACCGTTATACGATGAATATAGGGACGAGGTTTCGGAAGAACACTGGTCAGATAGGTGAGAAGTCGAGCTGTAAACTGTATCACACAACGTAAGCCTTCTGAACAAATGCGCCATTGGAAAATATGGGAATATTTACCATTCAATAACTTCTGAACTGTCTCTATTAGACTGACCGCTGCACCCGGACAACCACAATATCTATGAGAACTCAAACTGTAAACCAAAAGTGCGGGCAAGAAGCACTATCCTTAGTTATAATAGGTAGGGATCGGTTTACCTGGCCTATTAAAAGAATCGCCTGTAAAGACCCTCAACCTGAAAGTGGCTGGCGCGTCTATTTGACTTGTTTTTGGGTTTTATGTTTGCATTAAAATTGTTTCAGCTTAATTTTCTACGTAAACCAAACTCATATTTGAAGTGTATCTTGACGTTCATATTGCACAAATCATATAATATATCTTATTGGAGTGCGATCGGATAACGTTAAAATTAAGTTGTTTGCTTCGAAACTCCTATATTTCAATAGAGCTTATTAGTAGGCAAATGAGCGAAAAAAGCTACTAATATAAAGCGACAACGTTTAGCAATGATATATAAAAACTGTTCCAGCATTGATATGAGTGAAATCTTATGCATCTATTTACTAGACAGTCAACTTCGAAAAATCGTCGACAAACACAACACAGTAAAGCGAATATAAGAGATACTAAAATGTATGACCGTATAAATAAATTGTGAAGGGGCACACGTCGTTTAACCATTCATACGGGAGTCCTGCAGAGTTGCACCTCTTCCCGGCTCCCGAACGTCGGCCGAGAACGTCATTTTTTTTTTCTCTACTGTCTGCGTGGGCGAAATAGCCGAGTCAACTGGGCCTAACAGAGTGTGTGAGATAATGTATCGCTTTTTTAAGTAGGGTCCTTATCCCGCTATCCCATAGGCACGACTAGGTATCCTTCTGGTTGGCCTGCTAGTCTCCTTGGTCCGACTGCTGCTGCTTCGGACCGGCGACATATATTGCGACTGCCAGCACAGCTGCTTCTGTGGTCGCTGATCTTCTCTCTCCATTATGTTGCGTGCACTGCTTTTTGCCTACCACTAGCCGTTCACGGTGTGACGAATCGTCAGGGATTTTCTTTAAGCCTCAGACACCCCACTCTCAGCCAATGGTATCCCTATTTCCACCCGACCCATCCAGGTAGGCCAAACGCCCCTCGAAAAAAGCCCACCAGCAATCCCCGCCAGTGAAACTCCATCACGATTTTCTTTAAAAACCACGGTCAGGACTATCAATGGCTGGCCGTCTTTCCAACCTGCTTGAGCGGTATACCGCTGTCAGAGAAGCCTATAGGGTTTGCATAGACGAAAGCCTTCTTAATGTTGGTTTTCATGTACCGTAGATTACTTCTTTATAGCTTCGCTGTTACGCGAATTTTTTCCGAGACGTTCTTTGCCCCCGTACGCTGCCTATTTTTCACTGAAACCCGTTAGATTGTGTACAATGATCTGTTTTCCTTGTTGCAACTGTAAGCGTGTATATCGATTAGGTTGTCAATCTGAATTTGAAGTATGTATGTTGAATGCAAGTGAATGAATGCTATCATTTGACAATGATTACAAGATTATGCCATGGCGTAGTTGTTTTGCCAGCACACTTGTGCCATTGAAGTGTACGTTATGCACTAGATACGACGCTACGGACCGCTGACCTACCAAATATCGGCGCTTTTCGTTAACGCGGTATAGTTATGATCCCAGATCACTGCACTATGCTAGATATGGGAGCACTTCAGACACGGAAAGAATGGAGGAAGAATGGGAAACAGTTAACTTACTCACATTGGTCCACTCTGTTCTTTCTGCAGAGTCACTAAACGGCTACCTTTGACTACAGGTGCTAAGCAGCTATTGTATTGGATTTCATTGTTGCCTGGGGACTCAGCACACTTAAGCTTGCAACACTTTGACCTTCGGTTCTACCTAGCCAAGAAGAAGTCTTGGTTATTTCTAATCTTCTCCAAATCTTTGTTCTTCGTGTTTACATTGCACTTTTTACCAAGGTGAATAGTATCATATGGAGGTAGTAGCTCTCCTAGCCCCCAAGCAGTGGAATAAGTTTAGTTATCAATTCAATTAAAAGCCGATGATTCTTCATATATCGTTATACAGACAAACGAACGGCCATATATAAATTACAACTGAACTGGTATCTGGATTAATCAACTTTTATTAGTATATGCATTGTTTGAAACTTCTTCCTATTTTGAATAGCACAAATCGCCGTGAGCGTACATCTCTTCGATCCACTTCCAGTTCAGTTTCTCTTTCAACAAAGTCAGCCGTCCGCTATGGTTTGAGCCAAAATGAAAGTATCCTTAATGTAGCAGGGAAACATGGACCGACGTTTTTGTCAGCGGTAGATATATTCCTGTTGAAAAAAGAATCAAAAAGAGCCAGCTAACTCATGTTGAAAATTTCTGAACAGATATAGCAGCAAAAAAGTTCTTCCGGAGGAATGTAGTGACGTCTGAACTATCTGTTCTACAGACCGCCGCAAAGATTGTAAACGAACGGGCTGAATCCTATATACACTTATGCATACAGCTTTTCAGTTTATAGTAAATAGCAGACACAAGATCGTACGAACCTAAATCTAGATAAAGGTAAGAAAATTTGTTAAAATGAGTATGAGGCGCGCTTTTTTAGGTGCCTTCAGTTTTAACAATTAAATGAATTCGAATTTGTATAACTAAGCAGTTAACCAGTGTTTCAGTATTAGTCTCTAGATAAGTTACTGTCTGAGACGCGTGTGTGGTCGCATAACTGATCATGTCAAAACACAATCTCTTTGTTGAGCGCAGATATCGATCGTACAGGGCACTGAACGACATTGTTCTTACTATTAAGGTTATATAGCGTCGGGAACTCAGCATCGTACATGCATTTTTAGGCCAAGCTACGTTTCCTCGTATCCTATCGATGAGCTGTATCCGTCCCTAGGGCCTATGGTTTTCACTCGAGCCACAAACACAACGAACTAAACTCCCGCTTTTCGGCTTTGCTAGCCAGACCTTAATAAAAACCCACCAGTGCGGTTGGTTTTCGAATTACTTCCATTCACTCGTCCGGTCGTCCTTCCGTCAAAAAGTGAGCTACATCATGGCCATATATAAAGATATAATAACCGTATAATTTGCTTAGCGATATCCGAACGAATAGTAGCGTTCCAACTAAACATAAAAGATAGGTTCTTTTTGTGCGATGCACTGTTCCATTGAATAGCGTAACCATAGACTTCAACGAGTTGAAGGTTTCTTAAGAGTCGCACCGTGATAACCGTTTCGAAGAATCCATCCAAAAAATATTAGGATACTTCGTACTCGCTTTTTCATGTGCGCAATGACTTCAATACGGTGAAGTATCAAGATTTCGATGGGTGATTTTCCGCTTTAAAGAATCTCAGCCAAAAAAAACAACAAATTTAGCCAATCGTGAAAACGTTCTGAATAAGGAGCTTGTAGAATTTGCATTACTATGCGTTGACCTAGTTAGATTTATGGCACTTCAATGTGTCTCACCTTAAATTGTTGGGTTTTTCGTAGCTCAAGAGACCCTCTTTCAACCTGGCGCATCATATTATTGTTTCTCGTTTAGGACAGCCAGATCACATTTTCACGTAAGAAGTTTTCCCGCTTATTTAATTATACTATGGAAAGTGCAACACTATTATGATTTAAGTTTAGATCAATAGAACAAAATCCAGCGAGTCAGATATTGTTTTGAATAGTAGAATGACGCCCAATAGCCATAAAACAGCGCCCTGGTCATAGTTTACTTTTGCCTTGAGACGATATGGGCCGGGAACGCTATCGTAAAGTATTTATAAAGAAAACTCCTGTACGATATACCGCACTTGGACAATGTCACTCCATAGTCTGGCAACAATGCGTTCTATAGGACGTTGCTCGATCACATAGCTCGGCAATGACATCGCTATATTAAAATGATCATTCTGTGAGAGCGCGGATTGGGTTTTACTAACCCCATAAAAGATGGTGGCTCAGTTCCGAGAAATGGGCACCTACCAAAGAATAAGTAGTACGTTGCTGATCGACGCGTGGTAATAACTGGATCACGAAGCTATCAATCGGGGTCATTTTCACCACCGCATAACCAATCCAGCCTAGTCCTTACGCTTATTTTTTGAAGCCTTTTCGTCTGTGTGTTTTGTCAGTACGTTTCATACGAATAATATCAGCCGTCAACGATGCCATCCTCTGTTAACGTTCTTTTCAACAAAGACGGCTGGCTGCATAGTCATTAATGTATAGCTATAAGCTCTCTTTGACAATATTCAAATTGAGGGTCATAGAGAGAGCTCATCGGGGAAGAATGCATAATAAAGCCATCATTTTAAATCAAATTAGTTTCAGTTGCTGGTTAGACGTATGTCAAAGGCCTATATGGAATTATCATGAAGAGAAATATAGTTGTTTTACTTATGATACTAAAAAACGCCAAAAAGACAAATGCAATTAAATCAACAGCAGGTCGATTGTGTAGAATTTTGCACACTACTGGGCTTCCTATATTTATCATTTGTAACTAAATCTAGCATTGAATTATTTATTCTTGTATCACAATGATTTAGCATCTCTCTAAGCTTAAAAATAACTTCAAAAACGCCCGTAATTAAGATTGGTACCTTTTTATCATAAAACGTATAGTTGGCATGATTGAGCGTGCTTCGTCATAGCAGCTTTGTCATACTCCGTAGCTAGTTCTATCGATACGCTTATAGCTAGTCGGGGGTTGTCTCTGAAAAACAAAACTTACAAATGCGATCCTTTTATTTTGAGGCTATTGTTCGATTAAGTCAAAAGAAAATTACGCAGTTACACACTCGCCTTATGCTTTAATTCGAGCATTTTCGCAAATGCTAACTCTTTATTCAACGACGATAAGAGCGACACAATGGCAGCAGAATAATGTCTACGACTGGAACTCTGCGTGTGAAGCAAATGCTTTCAGATGGTCTCCTGCGTTGCTTCTGCCAGGATAAGGTTTGTGATCCAGCAGCGATTGAGCATAAATGGGAGATTCCTCTTGAGACGGCTTGCTTCCCAGGAGCGATGAGGTCCATGTTTCGGCCATTTATCTGCATCCCCGTCCTTTTCAAGAGTGCTACAGCCAACGTACCACGACGGCATCACCGCTGCGCGGCGTGCCATTCGGACACCGTCTAGGGATGACCCCAATGTACATAGGTGGCCTGCGTTTATCGCAGATAAACACTGCATCGCATTTAGTTCTGTCTTTCCCGTTCTATCTCTCTCTCCGGTCCGATCCGTCTGCGCCAGCAGCTTGCGCTCCCCGTAATCCTTTTTTTCAGCCTTCCCCTAAGGGCCTGCTAGCGTCGTTGCCTCCTCTGCTTGACTGTGTCTTTCTCTACTCTCTCCGCCGCATTCTGGCCACTTGGCGTCCACTTCCAATTGTTCCTGGTTTCACTCTGGACTAGGCTATTCCAGGGTTGTCGAGGAGGTCGACGAATAGCGCCCAACCGCCGGCACTCTGACAGCAGACGCTGCCAGGCTGTTTCGTCATAATACAGGGCAGTGACGGACTGGGAACCAGCCACACGACGGACATTGAGTGACCAGGCAAACTATAAATTGGCTCGACCATGTCCACTCTCAACAGAAGGGATTTTGGGCAGCTGGGAAATCTATGGCTTATCTCCGTAATGTGTGTTATGCTATAACACACATCACGCACAACGCAATAGTCATCGTCTCCGCAGATGCGCCCCCTAGCTTCTAGCTAACAACGCATTAGCCCCGATGTTTGTCAGCCTTCAGTCAATGGCATGTGTTATGAGAGCTTGTCTATGAGAACTAACACGAACATATGGAAAGGGCATTAAACCTCTAATTGAATCAAAACATATGATCTTATGCAATATTATATAAACAATAGTGTTAGCAAATTTATTCTAATACTAAGACTTGTATTTTTTTTGACGCTACCCGAAAGATGAAAGCTGTTTTTACCATCCTAGGGGCAGCAAACTGATGATATTAGTTTCATTGTATATCCAATACTGACTATTTATGAATCGGTACTAAAATGAACATGGCCTATGCTTTAATAGCGTAGCAAATCAATCCTGTCTGCTTCCTTCGTAGCAATATGGCGATAATTTTTGTTGCGATATGTTTTTTAGACCCTATTCCATAATATTAACTATTAGAAAAAAAAACTATTCTAAACTAAAGTTAGGCTGTAGCACAACAAAGTAAATGGCAAGTCGTATAAAAGCTTAGATGCAGGGATGTAGCTTGAACGATTATGATTTCTGTCTTTATTTATATTAGATTAAATCGCGAAAAAGGTTTTCATAAAAAGTATAACTTTTTTTTTCTTCCAACCACAGGTGCTCGATGTTATTGCTATTCAGGTCAATACACTGCAACACACGGTGGGGTCTAATTCAGAAGCTGTAACAACCATTGGCGCCTTATTACTTAATTGCAGCTACTATATCGTCCAGTGTCGTCAGTTTTTTAGCGTAGATATTATTTTTTAGATATCGCTAGAGGAAGAGTCCATCGACGTCAGGCTCGGGGAACGGGCAGTGCGTTCTATTGGGCCTGCTTGTCCGATTCATTTGTTTCGAAGATTTTAGTTAAGGTATACCCTTACATCACACTGACTGAGTGCAAATGGCCTCTCGCATTGGAAATAAAAGTTACCATCCTCACTAAAGTCTTCAAATAACATTATAAAATAAATGTTGCTTATTTAAAATCTGATCGTGGCCCATTCATTATTTACAATTGATTACACTCCAAAAAAAAAAAGCAGAAAGTAATAGCTCATTTAATAGTGCATACATTTCCTGGAAATTCCGTAGATATCCCATACGAACTCAGAACATTTTCCAACTCTACCTTTATTTATTGACTTCTACAAAATGAGAGCGGAATGATTCATTACATATAGATCAAATTTTTTCAAAGTTATATAAATAGGGAGAAGAAGATATTTTCCAATCGATTCACTGTAGAACGTATTACAGTGTTCGTTTGTGTCAGAGTTAGAAACCGACGATACATACGATGTGTGTGGAAGTAGTACTATACATTGCGATCTTTTATCATTCGGTTGTCCTGCAGGCGACAATATGACTAACCTGCGATGGCCCCGTCCTAAGGAGACTGCCAGGCTAGGGTTAGATGCGAAAGACGTCGGGTGGGTGACGCCAAATACTTTTAGTGCGTTCTGCAACAATCCGACTGTTTGCCAGGCGGGATTGCAAGTAGCAATGGCGATCCTAAACGACGCAAAGCTGGGAGCTTGAAAGCCGAAGTTTCGAGGAGTACATACGTTATATCTTTCGGCAGCGATATTAGCAGATTTTGTTTTTCGCGTCGATTTGCCTTGAATGCTTGCCTTATCCTGATGAAAAATGACATTATTGCATTAATCCGAACGCTGTGCGCGTTGCGTCAGGCGCACCCGCAGGTACCGCTAAGCGACGAGCGTGGATTACTTGCTCTTTTTTTCTTTCTGTCCTACTTCTTCCGTCGTCGTTGTCGTCATCATCGCCGTGTCGAAGTACATTGGAAATGTACCCCACTCTAGCGTCACTTTACTACTTCTGTCGTATAAGCATGAAGATTAATCCACTATCTCAAGGCACTAGAAAGTCTAACGTATGCAATGTACGAACCGGCTAAACAAGCTGTCGCATAGGTAGCTAGGCACGCAGGAAGAAACCATGTTCGCAAGGCGTATGTGTTGGTCTTTAAATTCTTTTTCTAAATTTGCGGTGAAACTATATATATCCTATCCTAGCCTTACTGAGATGACCTTATCGTGGGTCTGAATACAGACTTTCATTAACTGCACGAAACATTCGAGGGATAGAGATATAGCGGATTTTTTTTTATCGGAACGACGCTATAGGAAAATTAAAGAATCACATAGGAGAAAGAAACGCTCATAAAAACAGACTCGTTTAATAACCGTAAACTAAAGATGACAGTTAATTCGTCTAGCGTATGTGCTTAGACACATACCATAAGATAATATATATTCATATTCATGAGTAAGTTCAAAACTGTAGCAAAAAATAGTAAAAACATTATAGTTTTTATTAACGATAATAAACAATTAATATTAGGTTATTATGCATTTTATTGTTGGTCTGACAACAAAAAAAAAGCCTCGATTATATATAGCAAATATAATAGTTGAAATAACACTAATGTTACTTGATCCTTATCAATGTCAACTTCCTTTCTACCGATTTCCCCGTAGTGAGTGACAAAAATTGCTTCTACCCCTCGAGCTAAAAGTATATAGAGAACATGGCAACCTTATTGCAGTATATAGTAAAGCTTTGTTTATACAGGAAGTCCCAGCATTCCAGCGGATCACCTACGGGGTACCTGGCATGGGCTGTGAGACACACGGATGTTTATGCTCGGTATGAAGCTTGTAGAATATACAGTCCTCTAACGTGCCGGATCGTTCTGACCTTCACAAAACTCGAGTGAAGTTATCATCAATGACAGCAGCCGAATGACAGAGGCAGCAAAAAAAAAGACTAACTCCTCTGATGAATGTCATTTATTTACATTTACCCGGACGATCTAGATGTTATGTCACTGTCGTAGCACCCAGCAGGAACAGACACGTCTTACCCGTAATCTAGATGCACCACTATTGCGAAATCATGCAGCAGCCTGCGACTACTAGTTGTGGAAAACTCAGCGGCAGCACATACGCTAGTAAAATATATTATCGAATTTTTATTACTATAAAGATTAGCAACCAGAGACACATGGCTCGTCACGTACTCTCAAAGGAAGCTCTCCATTAGGAATATCTCGTCACTGATGATCTATTTAGAAGCTAAAGTGTGCTTGAAGATTATTTGTCAACATGCAACCACGACTGGTGATGAGCCATGCAAGTAAAAGCCTATGTATGGGTAGCACGCCTATCGTGCTCTGTTCTGAGTTCTTCAAAAGGCGAACTGCCGCTGCCAGCGCCGTTGTCCTCCATTGGTCAGCTTGCAAGGCGGCAAAAGTTTCTGTGGTTAGCCGCAATGCCGAAGGCCATTGCGTCGAAAGATGGCCATCTAGCTCGAGACCTGCAGGCCGCTGAATCCGTGAAAACGAGAGCCCCTGCTGACACGGTGTCATAAGCAGGACACCCGCCCTACGCCGGACCGCCAATCCTGACGGCCATTAAAGAATGGGTGGCCACGTTTTCATTCGTTCCAGATCTCTCAGAAAAGACAGTCGAGTGCTTGGGAAGCCTGTCCGGAAGGTCAATTACGACAAAAGAGGCCATCATGACGTTACGCCAAGGAGTAGTTGGTTGGTTAGTTACTGGGTGCCTACTGACACAAACTGTTTAGGCGGGAAGACGCGATTCAGGAGCTGGAGTAGTGACGTCACGGGGATTCGTGCGCCTAGCGCCTGCCCCTGCGTAAAAGGCCTAGAATTGTATGTAGTTGTGCATCAACTGCTGTAACCACCTTCGCGAATCCCTTTTATGGGCAGCTATCGTCATCATCGCTCCCGAGCCGCAACGATCCCGAGCAATAACGATTACACGCTGCGACGATGTCTAACGCAAACGACGAAATGCAAAAACTGGGAAACGGGAGTGTCTAGTAGCGAAGCAAACAAACTCAGTGATTTTTTAACTATACCTATGATACCTATATAACTATGATACCAGAGCGTCTGTAACGTCACAGGTCAATTATTCATAAACGGGTACGTAGTTTATGTCTTAAAAATAGTAATCACTTAA